CACCTAAAAACACCGAAAGCCATTGTGGTGTCCTCCATTTCTCAATATAAGCATTGCAGGCAAGCAAAACGTCTAAATGCCGTGTTTCGAATGTGCTTAGCACAAATTTTCCTCCGATAATGGATCCCTATATGCCTTAGAGGACTTGATGGCCACATATACACTGCTGTGTTCATGTGTTTTGGCGGTAGCATTCTCGTTTCGGCCTCACTACGTCAAGCGAAAACCCTAACATTCTGTAATACGAGAGCCGTGGTAAATATTTAAAAAGCAGATCATGTAAATGTAGACGATAATAGGAATAACTATTTAAATTACCCAATGTTCGGCGCCCGATAATTAAAATGATAAATACAACTAAAAGGAAATAAGAAATATCCAATAGTGCCCGCGAATTGGATACAATTTTATATCGACTCTATATCGAATTTTAAGGATTGAAGTTAACCATGAAGGATGGACATTTTCCCCATTTTTATTAATGAAAATAATATCTAATGCCTTTGGATAGATATTGTCGCGCGATAAGCCAAAACCCGACCGCATGCCACCAGAAAAGCAAAAGTGAAATAAAGTAAAACTATAGTTAACAAGAAGTTAACTCATGCGGATAAAACTAAATAAGGAACTACACCAAAATTAAAAACTTAACTTATCTGAACCTAATAAAACTAAAAGTGACCGCAGGACGCTTAAGAAATCTGGGTAGATTATCTGTCGTACCTCTGTTGTTTACATTAGCTATATGCGCCAAGAACGTTATTCTCCCGAAAAGTTGCCCACGTATTCGCTTGAAAGAAAGAAACGAGACTGATATTATAAAAAATTATACTCCTCTGACGGTTCAGAGTCTTTATCTAACAAATCATCCCATAGAATAGAGAATAAAAACCGTGGATGCACATGGAGGTGCTGCATTTTTAGAATAATATTTATTTACAACTGTATAATTGGCAAAGTCAGAAAGTTGCATTCATCGCAAACTGCCGTAATGGGGTGTGGTTGTCGCTTGATTGATCACCGCAATTTCATTACCACTGCTGGTTATTTGGCGTGATAAGCAGCCACCAATTTGGCTCACCGTCCTCGGATGCAGCACTCGCCAGCGTACTCCCCACGGGCCTAATTACACTGACAAGACCATCTCAGAAGGGCATATTAAGAGAGCTTGAGAGTCTTGTTGATAGACTGAGAGCTCCGACGTCGATTGTATTAACAACTTTTTCCCTCCTAATAGATATAAGGCTGATTGCGCTGTAAGTTGGGCACAACTAAGTTTTCAAGTTCACTTATTATGTTACTCGACGCTAAATAATCTGCAAACTTAAACAACACTTCGGTTCCGAAAATAAATTTTCACTAGTAGGAATAAGTGAAAAACAATACAAAAATCTGCTCTATAAGGCAACATGGCAGGCGCCTCGGTGTCAGGTGAGGAAAATTTCCAAAAAATTGGACATTATTTACTCTGTGCATAAACTCCTAATAACTCATTTCCCACTTGTTCTTGGTCATGCCGTTTTAACCACTCTTGCATTTCACTCAACTTGCAGTCGAAGTTCAAAGCCTCGATCAAAAGCATTTTTTCTGAGTGCTTTACTTTACCTGAATTGCCACTGAAGACATACTTCCGGAAGACAAGCATTTTTCCTCCTTCTTAAAACTGTCCATATAATTGAAAATATGCACCATCTGTTATGTTTACATACAAATGTGCGTCGAAGGTATCAAGGAACTTCCGCATAAATTTGTTTTTAAAATGCTCAAGCACCGAGGCAATTTTTCACTTCCTCTTTGCTCAATACGCCATTTTTATCGTTGTCGTTTACCGAAACTTATGTAAAAAAACTTTTTTTTCTGTTCTCTATGTCCATCGTGGTTTTGACCAGCGTTCGCAATACATATGATTGCATGAGCTTCGACTTTGTCGAACCTCCAGGGGGAACCAAGTCTCACTGAAACAGCGGGGAATTTACAACAGCGTCATTCCTCTTCACTGCTACTGCGTGTCGGCCATCCGGTTTCATCCATACGCAATTGACACCGTGGTAGCTGTAGAAACTGAGTACTGACGTCAGTAAGGATTTCTTACAAGTTACACCACAATAACAAAAACCCTGCGTTTGGGTACTACGAGACCGGCGGTAAAAGGGGTCAAATGAGTGGGTCATATCAGAGGAGAGAGAAAATAATTAAAATAACAACGTATTAAATTAAAACTCATAGGAATAATTATTTAAATGACCTAATGTTTGGCCCACGATAATTAAAATAAGAAATACAACCAATAAGAAATAAGAACTGCGAATTTTCGGGATTAAGGTAAAACCACGAAAGGTCGGAGTTTTTCCATCCCTAAAACTCACGATGGCTTTTAGTACATTTGGACAGGCATTGTAGTACGATAAACCGTAAAGCAACAGCATGTCGCTGATAAAACTAAAATAAACTAAGACTAAACGAAAAAATAAAATAAAGGAAAACGAAAGTGAACAAAATGCACACTATACTTCAATAAGTAAACTTAGCTAACCTTATCTAACCTAAACTAGCGAAATTGAAAACTAAACCAAAACTAAAATAAAACCAAAAGACTAAATAACCAATTGAAAATTAAACCAAAACTAAACTAAAACCATAAAACTAAAAGTAATCACACGCGCTAAATGTTTTTACGTAGAGTGCAATGAATTGGTAAATGCTGAATAAGTACACAAAAATAGGCCTGCCAGAATGAAGTAAGTATTGATTTATATATTTGTACAGTGCAGTATTACTTAAGAGGAATCCTTGCCCTTGCCTCATATAGTTCACTTATTTGAACACTCCAGCACAATTTCGTTGGAAGATGAGGATGGCAAGAAAGGCCAGTTGGCTGTTTGCTTTCCCCCCACATCGTAATATTAACGTTCGGGAAGACAGCGTTTGGATGGGTTTTTTTTTGACTGGAGGCCCCGGACCCCGTTCGAAAAATATTAAGGTATCATCCACAAACCAAGTGCAGTATTTTGTTCTGAGATGTTGGAAAACCACGGAGCCCAACCGTTAAATAGACACCTTATCTATGACTTCCGAAATCAGTGCATCCATTGATCTGCCTCTTACCTGCGCGGGTGGCAGGTGTGAGAGGACTCATCTCTGTCAGCCACCGTGCCTATACCCGCTTATTGTTGCCTTGAATTTGCCTTCCCATTGTAGCAAGGTTGGTTTGGAGGGAGTTGCGATAGCGGCTGCACAGGTCGGCTTTACAAAAAACACATTCACGAAGAAATGCCCAATGGGCCTACTGCATCGCATGTGATTAATCTCTTCTTCTGCGATGTTTGGTTTAGCGCCATGCGGAATTACTCGGGCTAACGATTTCAGACTCCACTTGCGATGCCTTGATGCTGGGGGACTAATGCTAAGTTGTCTGTGGTTCGGCTCACACCCTCTAAGTTTATGAGTAATACGTCCACAGAAAGAACGATTTGGAACGCTGAATAGGAAGCAGCTATTATAGAATGTTGCAGTGTTCTGGACTCCCGCTTATTGCCCCGGATGATTCGCATGAGTCACTGGCTCGTACATGGCAAAATATTCAGTTACAAGGATCTTTTACGGCGATATTTTTTTTCAAGTTTGGTCATAATAAACGTTTTTCTCGATCTTTATCATGTTAATCAGATTTGATTAAAGTCGAGAACACACAACATTCCATTAGTGGCAAAATAGAGGGTAGGGATAACCTAGATGTGCTCCAAAGTCAAAATAAGGTCTTGCTCAAAGGCCTGATGCATCTCAGTCTCGGTAATATCAAGAGTGTGATTAAAATTATCACATAAGGAATTTCAGAGATGCCAACGGCAATGGAATGATAGCGTACGACCTCGAGGCATTCGTACGTGTCACAAATGCTAGATTGTTTTCATGTTCAATAGTTTGGTTTTTTAATTGTGGAAGGAAAATTTTGGTCGTCAGATGTGTACCTTGCTGATACACCTTGTATGATCCAATCACTAAAACTGTCTACCGCCTGCGGCTCACTAATGCAAATAACATGTTATTTTTAAAATGAAACATAATTTATAGTTTCATCAATAGTTTCTGTGGTTTTTTTATTCCGCTAGTAGATAAATGCATTTCGAAATTGCTATAAATAAGTCAATAAAAAGACCTTTAATATGACTATGCATATATATACGGAGAATAGAACGTGAAAACGGTATCAAGTATCCGACAGTCATATACTTGCAGATGAGTCCCTGTTAGGACAAGTCTTCAGTCACGTTGTAGTACTCCGTACTACTCGTGGTCTTGATGAGTCTGGTGCGTGATTTGATAACGAAGGGGGACCACGACTCTCGGCAGATAACACGGAGATCTCTTCTAAAAGTCGGTTAACCTCAGCGTGTACATCAGACAACCTCTTTTTATCAACGGGCATGGTGTCACACACAAAATAGGAGGAAAGAAGGTTCGGTTGTAGATACGGGTTTTAATAATTTAGAACAATGTCAACGAAATGTGTAGAAAACTAATATAAAAAAACGCGTGTGAAAATATCTGAGGGTAGTAGTCTCTAATGATACAAAATCAACACTGGGTGGAAGGATCAAACCGGAATGGGAATGTTCAGTCACTCAAGACGATAAGGACGTAGCCAGGGGACAACGTGAACACGGGAGCGATCTGGTACGTGAGGTGAGATAGCCCAACCCGCGGATCCAAGGTCTGACTCAGCAAATCCTGAAAAATGAAACCAAAAAGTATGACCTTGAAACGTTCAAACAACCTATCGACCCAGTGGTTCGGATTGGCCCGTTACAATGTATTTTATGTCCCCAAATCCGACGCTTCACAATAGTCCAATGCGCACACTGCAACGGGCGCTGTTAGGCCAAAAATCAATAATTTGAAATTTTCACGTGGAACAACTGTGTTTGCCGCACGCCTGCAACGGTATAACCTTGAGTTTTCACCGAAAACTCAAGCTCTGAGAGGAGGACGGTAAAGGCAGAATGGATGACAAAGATCAGCCGTTCCTAATTGCCAAGCCGGTGGAAGATGGTAATGTCTCAAAAGTGGCCTCCCAGATGGAGGTCGCCAACAGCGTGGCTTTCCAGAACGTTGATGAACAGTATTATGCGGGAAAGTTAACAAGCACTGAGATGGCTATGTTCAAGGCCCGCTTCATTCGACTACATCAGGCTCTTAAAAAGTAAGATATAGTTAATTATGATTTGATGGTCTTGGGATATAAAGAGCTTTTGCTACTAAGATTCGCCTTTGCTTATTTTTTCAACAAATACCGGAATGATTTATCACAGACCTTTCTATGTAGCGAGAAAAAATCCAAATTTCCTTCACTAGTGTTTTTACCTTAAAGGAGAATCAGTCTTTAATAAAAACATCTTTTACGTACTATCTCAAGTAGCAAATCGTTGTGAGCAACCACCCTCTCTGAGCTATATTCTTGCGTGATGCCCGCTTTATTTACTTTTAATTTGTGGGTGAGGCTTGCTCTTCCTGTGAAACTCTTAAATTGCGCGAGTTTCTTTCGGTGCTTCCTTGTCATATTACAAGCCCGAAAATGGTTGTGGGTATCCCACCCCCTCCCCACAAATATGCAAGCACATACAGCAGTTCCTTGCCTATTAAAAACTTACCACAAAAAAAAACAATTTTGCCAGTTATTTGCTTCAAAACCCCTCAATTTTCTCTCAGTTAGACCCCTACCCATAAAAAACATCATTCCCAAATTACATGTGGTCATGCACCATAGTTCTGGGCTCGAGAGTACACAAAACCGGTTCCAAGCTAGCACTAAAATTCCCGGTCAGTGAGAGACTTCGTTTGTAAATGTCCTTTTAGTAGGAATAGTTTAAACCCGTTTCGAAAACATTTCATACTCAACCTCATGCATCGGTCCCGTTATCCATTCTTCTAAATGAAGCCTGGCTATGTGCAAAACTTTTGCAGAGTTTTTTTGTCTTTGGGTCATATTACTTAAGTTCTTAAAAGGGCCGGTGCTCGCAACCGATTGACAAGTGATTCCTTCAACAATCAGCCGACCTCAACTTTCATCCAGCTCTTGGTGAAGTCCGAAATGCTGAAGTGTTTGCACAGCCACGTTCTTGACTCTCATTGATGAATGTTCATCCTGCCGCTAACGGAACTCATATGTCCCGCTCTTCCTAGGGTCTCTTTCGAGACTCTGACAGCTATAGCAATTAGTAGTATAGGCAGATAGTATCGTTGGCAAAGGCAAGGGAGACTGGTT